TAGAAGCTTGCTCTTTGCTCATGGTGATCTTGTTTTATCGAATGCGGTCTAAGCAGACCCCAAACACTCACTAGAAAATTTCGCAGCAAAATACTACATGTCGAGTATGGCTGTAAGCGTGTGTAAATCTCAACTCTTCTGTTCGCTATATAGATAAACGGAGAAGCGGCAGAACTTCGTGATCACGTTTACGGATGATGGAAAATGGGCGGAAGAGATCGACGGGCGAATTGGAATAGCCAGGGATTCTCTCCATGAAGTATCCTCAACTTTCATGACTCAGGCAGTGCTGAATGTAAAGAAGAAGCTAGCTATGTTAAAGTCGATTTTAATCTGCATGCTTATCCATGGTAATGAGTTATAGACCACAGCTGAAAACTGTGATTCCGGATACAAGCGGCTAAAATGGAGTATCATCGACAAATCGCTGACCTCGCGCATCTCGACAAAGTCAGGAATTCAAATATCTGAGAAAGCATTGAAGTACAGCTGCTGCTTTTCCACACGGAACAGTCACCGCTGAGATGGCTCGCACATTTTTGTGAATGTTTTCATGAAAGAAAGCGAAACAACTTCTACGAGCTCAACCGAAAGATCCAAGACCTGAGGAAGATCGAGAATGACCTGGGACAAGTGCCTCGACAGATTCTGTTTCAGAATCAAGTTGTCCTCTGCTGAACCTCAGAAGTAGGTACAGAATCAGTAAAGTTGGAGATACTGCTTGAGACGCTGTTCTCGCCACCTAAAAGTAAGCGAACCAGACAGAATGGCTGACGAACAAGGACGATAGAATGATTGACGGTCCATCAGGTAAATTTCTGAATCATCGTTTACCGTAATTTGTGGAACGATAGCTCCCTGCTTGTGCGTGATCATGTACGTTTTTTATTATTGAGCTTCCACTGTTTATCTTCCATTGTTAGCGATAAATGGACTGCCTTTTGCATGAGCAAATAAACTCTGTTCAGTTGCGCAGAGAGAATCATTCCCACGCTATGCTTTTGTGGCGCGGTTATAATATTTTTTATTAATTGTTAGTTCACTTAAGCAAGGAATGAGTCTAATGTACTTCAATACTGTTAGCCGTGAAACCAGTAGCAAGCGGTTAACTTGTGAACAATACATGCAGGATATTGCTATGGTGAGCTGATGCAAGAATGTGCGACAGTGCCATCGACTATGCTCGTTTATGACTGTACGCCAAGACGCAGTTTTGCTTTGATCCACTTAAAAGCTGACCGAATCGGTACTGACCAAAATATAACAATAATAACATATGGTAAAAGCGGTAATAAAGAAAAAGCGTTATTCAATTCCTGGAAGAAAATGACTTCACACTAGGTAATGTTAAACATCAGTAATTATGACCAACTAATGGATTTTCAAGTTCAGCAAACACCTAAGTGCTATACTGTAGTTTTATGGTGCTTACTGTCGTCAACGAGGTTTACAGTCGATTACAAGAGCAAATATTTAAAATGAGCAATGCTTACAGTTTCAGCGTCTGATATGGCATCTTGCACTTCAGCTTGTAGCTGCTGCTTGATCTTTTCCAGAGAATTTATTTTCTGAGCGGACGATTCGACTTCACTTTCTGCCGCATTTAGTTTTTCTATCAGCTTTTTCCTAAATTAAATTTTGCGGAAAATTGTTTTTTATAACATAGTTTACATAAGCTGGTCGCACACTCGAGTATGCTAAATAACGAAGGAACCTTCTGAGACCAGATTTTACGGCGCAGGGCACCGACCCTTACTTTTAGTTGCACGTGGGGCATTTAAATAGGCCGCCACTTCATGGCATTTCAGCACCGAGTGTCAGATTCGTCTTGCACCATTTTTTGGCTACAGTCACCTAATGCTCATAAAAAACAATGCTTCATGAACTTTTATTCCCTATATGCAATCATCATCTCCATCTTCCATCGCCCCTTCTCCTTTCGCGTAGCGGAGGCAGACGCGTCAGACACGCTTCCAACGTTCCCG